CCAGCCTCTCTTCCTTCTGACGACTGGGGTCCTTTCCCAAGTAGATGCACTGCAGACATATTTGGTCTCCAGATCCGTGGCCATCCAGAACTTGATCCCAAATTTGTCTGGCTTGGTTGCGATATACTGTGTGAATGGACACCGAACCTTGGTAGGGAAAAGCTGTTCATCTATGGTCATGTGTTCTCCTGGAATGAAACTCTTAGCACAGTTCTCATTGAAGCGTGTCCAGATGTCAGAGATTGCCTCAAATTTATCTGTTTTCACCCGTTCTGCCCGCGTGTCCTTGTCATCAAATTGAAGGTGTTGCATAATTAAAATGAATCTATCTCGGGGCATTGTCTCTTTGCTTACTGGCACCAGAAATCTTTCTGACCAGCAATCTAGAATGGCACCAACGGGACACATGATTGCTCTTAGGGTCAGGGTTTTTTTTTTTTTTTTTAATTTTTGCTATTTTTACAGGAACAGGCAGAGGAGAGAACATGTAAAGCTGGAGTGATCACACATGTCACTCATGTCATTGTATTAGCAACTTGTCATTCTGTTTTCACACATTTTTTTATAAATAAAATGGACTTGTGTTTCCATATATTGTGAATGTGACCAAAAACAAATGTCCATTACAGAGGCCATAAATGAATAGGCTGGTGTGGTGGGGCGTGGTCTGCGGTGCCGTGAAGGGAGGGCGGATGCACCTGCACGGCATCCTTAATCACGCCCGCCTAGTTAAAACACGGGGATTCAGGGGTTTGGGTGTGTTGTGGTGAGATGTACATATCCGAATGATACTCCGTGGTCCCGCCGTGCCTTATTCTCGCCACAGCTGGTTCTCAGGAGGGTGTAGGGTCATATAAAGACAAAATTATACAGAATATATATAACATAATATTATAATATGATATATATAATATATAACTAACCAGACCAATTTGTGGTTTGCAAGGACGAGAGGACCATAGTTGGATAAATGTGTCAATTCTAGCTAACAGCAAGATCAGAAATCAGAAACACAATGAAATCAAGGAGTACCAGGGGCTTAAGGACCAACTGGAGGTAAAGTCCAAATTGTCTTAGTAGTAATAGAAGCATGAGGAGCTGCCACCCCAAATCAGGATGAGTGGCTTCAGCAGATTCCAGGCAGAACATCAAGGGTCTCTGTACAGAAGCGTGCAGTTCTAGGAGCAGTAATGGAAGATACTGCATAGAACAATATACATACACAACACATATGAAGTATTGAAGCTGTTATTTATGTTTTACTGTAAAATTCACTGAAGGCTCTGACTACTTGAAAGTAGACCATGATTTGTTAAAAATTACCTGTAAAAATTCAAATTGTTACGATTTGTTCGAGAAGTGAAACTGATAACCTTAATAAAGAAAAGAAAAACAAAGGCAATAAAGTCTGAAGCCTGAGCGTTTGGCTTACAGGGATCATTTGTATATATGTTAAATTTATTTTTCCAAACTTTGGGCATCCACCACTGTAACTGTATGCAAATGACAGAAAACAAATACAAGTAAAATTGGGTCCTTTTACGTTGTGGGTAGGGATGGGTATCGAAAACCGGTTCTTGTTGAGAACCGGTTCCCACTGTTTCAATTCCTTGGAATCGTTTGCCATTTTTGCAAACGATTCCCTTATCGATTCCAGTCGCCCCGAATGACGTCACCACGTTGCGGAGCGTCATTTACCTGGCAGGAAACATGGCGCCTAAGCGGCTCAAACGCTCAAAAGTTTGATTATACTTTATGAGAACCGATGACAACAGGGCAACTTGCAAAGTAGATATTTCATTTAAGGGAGGAAACACTACGAATATGCAAAAGCATTTGCTCACAAAACACGCGATGACACGCGTTTTTAATTCCGCTCCGGACTCGTGACTCTCAACCCAGCAGCAGCGCTAACGTTTGCACGTCCTCTCCCGTTAATGCGGCAGGTAAATAATCAACTAACAGTGCATATTATGTTAGCGCAATCTGCATTATTACAAGACCTGCCATTACTGTACATGTAGGTGACCATGATGAGAGAGACAGACAGAGTCTGGCTGGCGCTCGCTGGCAGTTCTCGCTGCAGTCTACCGGTAGCGTCTCCTTTCAGGCCAGGATAGACTAATGTCACCGAGCAGTGTCTAAGTTTGTGGTCAAAGGCTTGCACCCATTTGCCACAGCAGATGCCCCCGATTTTTGGTAAGTGAATGTGTTTAATTGTAGGCAGGGACATTACTGGATATTCTTGTGTAATTGCCACAGAACAATTTATGTTATACTTTGTTATTGCTACAGAAGAATGTTGCAGCTTTAAGGCAGGGATGACTCCTGGAGTTGCTTTCTCACTGCATATGCTTTATTTCACAATCAGATCGATTCGATAACAAAAACATACAGCAGCTCCTCTCCTACTCCTAGCCCTTCGCTGCGGTGGAAAAAAGAACGACTTCAATCCCCTTCAAGGAACATACGTACAAAATAGTTTTCCTGATACACCAATGGGGCGTTCAATGCCATCTTGTAAATATGAGTACTCTGGCAGAGTAACAGTTCAAATGAAAAATACACCAGAACAAACAAGCAAACAAAAAAAGAAGTGTGGGGTACCTTTGAACCAATGAACAAAGTATAACAATTTATACTTTTTAACATAACCCGACCCCGTCAATATGTGATATGTCTCACAAGAATATTTATTTTATTATTTTACATTTACAATTTTTTTTTCCTGGGGACCCTGTGACACCCCATTGAAGAGCCGTAGGCTGGATCTCTCAAGATCTCACTGTTGGGTTTGTAAGGCCATGTTACTCCTAAATTTCTATCTTGTTCAAAGAGAAGATATAAAACAAAGCTCTGAGCTAATCGACCTTAGTGTTCTCCTTTTTTTAAAAAAAAAAAAAGAATCGATAAGAGAATCGATAAAGAATCGAATCGTTAAACAGAATCGAAAATGGAATCGGAATCGTTAAAATCTTATCAATACCCATCCCTAGTTGTGGGGCCCAATTATTTAAACAAAAATAAAGATCAACCATTTTTTTTTTAATCTGCAACATAAGATAATGAAATAACTACAGATATTTATACCTAACTTATCTTGTCTGTGAACTTGAAAAGAAGTAGGCAGAGAACAATAGAAAATGTTGCTGAGATGAAGAGTTATAATGTGTAAAGATGCCCCAGAGACAATCCAGCACATAACAGCAGGGTGCAAGATGCTAGCAGGCAAGGCATACATGGAACGCCATAACCAAGTGGCCGGCATAGTGTACAGGAACATCTGTGCCGAGTATAACCTGGAAGTCCCGAGGTCAAAATGGGAGATGCCCCCAAGGGTGGTGGAGAATGACCGAGCTAAGATCCTGTGGGACTTCCAGATACAGACGGACAAAATGGTGGTGGCTAACCAACCGGACATAGTGGTGGTAGACAAACAGAAGAAGACGGCCGTAGTGATCGATGTAGCGGTTCCGAATGACAGCAATATCAGGAAGAAGGAACACGAGAAGCTGGAGAAATACCAAGGGCTCAGAGAAGAGCTCGAGAGGATGTGGAGGGTGAAGGTAACGGTGGTCCCCGTGGTAATCGGAGCACTAGGTGCGGTGACTCCCAAGCTAGGCGAGTGGCTCCAGCAGATCCCGGGAACAACATCGGAGATCTCTGTCCAGAAGAGCGCAGTCCTGGGAACAGCTAAGATACTGCGCAGGACCCTCAAGCTCCCAGGCCTCTGGTAGAGGACCCGAGCTTGAAGGATAAACCGCCCGCAGGGGCGTGCTGGGTGTTTTTATATATAATATACATGAATCCTGATATAAGAACAGGAGTAACTTTACTTATGAACGACAGGATGAGTTAATACTGTATGATTCATAGATCACGACTTTCAGGTCCAATTAGTTACAGAATATTATTGTGTGATTAACGATAGGAAAGTGAAAATGAGTTTCTGTTAAAAGTGCTTCATAAATAAATGTTTATAGAAATGGAAAATACAATTCAGTCTGAGAGTTCAAACACATTTCAGATATTTTTAATCAATTGTTCCCCATAGCTCATTGTTTCATATTTTTTAAAACAAAATATAGTCACAGTAGATTAAAGTCTGAATCGCTCCAGCTGTGTTTATTACAAATTGTCATACTGAGATATGCTCAGCAGTTTATCACCTCCACACCTTTCTGTTCAACAACTTATATTTAATAAACTGAATATTTAATGCATTCAAAACACAACTGCATGCAGCAAGTAAATAAATTAAAAGCATTATTATTGAGGAATTGAACTGATGTAGATTAAAATAATATTCATGCTACAACAAAGCATTTAAGGATGCAAACGATTCAAAGGAAGAGGAAGCAAGTTTACTTTTAGTTTCAAAGATGCAAGATATGTGAAACCAAAGAATATGAACCAGCAGCCCACCCCTCGCTCTGATAAAGAGTACTGCTTAGTTTGTCTGATGACTCACTTTGTATCTTTTGGTTTGAGCTTTTACTGTCAGCTTTACGCTCAAAGTTTGGACTAAAACAACAATGGAGTTGAGAGATGCTGGTCGTCTGCTTGTGGGTCTCATCTTTTACATTTCAGGTATCAGAGATTATTTATGAGTTCTTATGTAAAAATCGTTAGTTAATATTAACTTAAGAAAAAGATCTTGTAATATTTACAGATGAGGAATTTTAGTTTAGATTAGTTTCTAATGTAAAGTACTGAAAATTATTAAGTAATTAATAACAAAGACATATTAATAAGATAAAAACATTTATTAACTCCCTTCTGTTAAAGATGTTAATGGAGGAGAAACCAGGATCTGTGCTTTCAAAGGTTCATCAGTGGATCTGCACTGCTCACATCAACATCTGACTTCAAGCAGAAAATGGTTCACTATACACTGGGATGGTTACAAGTATGTTCAGAGTGAGCTCTCTGTGGATGGACAACGTGTAACGTACAACATGTCTGAAGAGAAAATCCCAACTTTAACCATCAATGATCTAAGAGAGAGTGATGCAAATGCTTACTGCTGTATGAAGACTGCAGACAGTGCAGGAAACTGTTGGCTAAACAGAATTACTCTCCAAGTAGTTACAGGTACAGTGACTTTTACTTATTACTTACTTTCCAAATGACATCATTGTATAAGTTGTTCTCCATCATCCTCTCAGAGCTGCAGGTAAAGGTGATTCCTGCCACAGAGGGACAGACAGTAACACTGATGTGCAGCAGCAGCTGTCCTCTGACTGAAAAGCCTGCAGCCTACATCTGGTACAAGAACAGAGAGTTTCTCTATGAGGACTGGTCTCCCTGGTACCAAGAGCTGCTCAGCAGTGAGGAAGCAGTCACATACTCCTGTGCTGTCAAAGGCTACGAGGATCTCAGAGCCCCTCAAGTCTCTGTGGGTGAGTCATGATGTTTATAGTCCCTACAAACCCTTCAGCAAAAAACTGTAAAAATAACCTCAGTAAAAATATTAAATCTCATTTCTTTTTGTCCAGATTCCATCACACATACATGCTTCAGTGTCACTTATGCTTATGGAAACATGTGTTCTTATAATCAGACATCAGTGGATGAGCCGTGCTCCATCACATACCCTAGAGGTGAAGTTTCCACAAACAAATTGTATAAACACTTCTCCAAACCTTTATATCATATTCGTTTAAACTGCACAATTATGTGACTTAAATGAGCCGCATGATTACATCTAAATAGTGACGAGAAGTGTATTTATCTTCGATCGACAGAGGTTTATGTTCAGAGAGCTTCTTCCACCTTGGGATTTGTCACACTGACCTGTAACAACAGCTGTAATCTGACTGACCATCAAGCTGTCTACATGTGGTATCACAACAAAATAAACTATCATGAGAATCAACATTTTTCAACTCATAACTCTTCAACAGACACATTCTCTTGTGGAGTTAAAGGTCACACACATCTTCAATCTAAAAAAGTTTGTAAGTGTCAAATCTGTTTTTCTTTTCAACTAATAATGAAACACAGACCAATCAAACAACATTAAATCTTCCATCTATATGTCAGGTGTTCAGGATAAAAACTGCTGGAGAGTGAATTATGTCAGCAGGAGAATCTGTGCTCTGGAAGGATCTTCAGTGAACATCACAAGTGAATACTCACATCCTGATAACATGAAGCCAGAGTTTAAATGTTGGAGTAAAAAATGGAGAAAAGATAAAGTGGAAGTTGAAGAGCTGATTGAGGCTGCAGGTGGTGTGGAGTATCAGGACAACATGAAGAACCAACACATCCTGACCATCAACAACCTGAAGAAGAATGACTCAGGAGGATACACATTCAGATTCAACAAAGATCATGAAGGATGGACACAGTCTGATTTGCCTGGAGTCTTTTTGATTGTCACAGGTAAATCTAAACTCCTCAGTCAGCAGACTTTACTCATTAATATTTCAATATGAGCAGAAGCGCTAGAACTATTCAGATCTTTCTCGGTTATATAACAATGTTAAAATATTCCCTTACAATGAAAAGTTTGTTCTTAATTAAAAGCATGTAAATGCTATGAAAAATAACTATAGTTAAAATATCAAAAGTAAAAACTGGCATTTTGCTTGATTTAATATAATAGTTTTAAAATTATATACAAATGAGTTTTTCGACAAAGAAATAATTTTTGTAACAACTTTCATCTTCAATTGAGGCATTTTAATAAAAGAATTACTTAAACGGTTCAGGAAATACAATCATATTTATACGGTCCCCCATTTTCAGAGGCTCAAAAGGGAACTGGATATCTGATAGCAAGATACATTAAGCAAAGAAAGATCCGGAGTTTATTTCAAGTATTTCATGTTTATTTACTAAAATGTTCTGGAAAAATGAAATATTTGGACAAATGAATCAAGATTCATTTGTACCAGAATGATGGCCAAATGCCTCAAATGCAATAGTGTTTCACAGTCCCACTGGATAAGGTATCATGGGCTGGTTGTGTTGTGCCCTTAAACAGGGGAAATAGTGAGGAGAGGTGAAAGAACGGCACAGACACGCAGCTCTCACTCTCACTCGTCTGTATTGAGTTTCAGAAGCAATACAACCAAAACAATATTCTTATGGATGCACTCAGTCTCAGGACAACTGTATCCAAACTAAGTCACTATTGTTCGCTGCATTAGCTGATGAGAATACTTTAGATAACATGAACTGTAGCATTAGACAAAAACATATTTTTAACTCGCACATGTTAGCTGACACAGTCACTAACTTTCCACAGCAATGAAATAATACTTTAAGTACTGCATGTCTTTCAGTAGTTAACTTATACAGATCGTAACAGAAAAATCTTCACACAATATGGCGGAGTAATAGCGAAAACTAGCATACGCAGCAACAGAGATTAACTGGAACTTCTCAGCAAAATAGTCCGCAATTCACATCTTCCGCTACAATGAACAATGATAACAATGTAATAATCAACAGTAACACACATTTATATAGATTTGTGCATGACAGTTACCTTAAACAGGGGAAATAGTGAGGAGAGGTGAAAGAAAGGCACAGACACGCAGCTCTCACTCTCACTCGTCTGTATTGAGTGAAGGAGGAAGCGCGCGAACCCACCTACTGGAGCCCTGAGGCATTAACAATGGATCGATGCACAATCAACCCAGGCAAAACTTTCACTACTTATCTCCCTCTATATTCCCACTGCATATTCTATTCGAAAACAGTCAAAGCAACAAATAAAACATTAATAAGGGCATGACATGAAATGTAAGGAACAGAGATGTACAACTTCAAAACTAATCAAATTTATGATCCACCACATACTCCCCCTCAGAATAGATGTTGTCCTCAACATCCAAATGTTTAACATTTAGCACAAACGTGGAGTTATGACCATTAATATCGCCAAAACCACATACAATAAACCATTGCATACTATAACTGTTTCTTGTACCTTATATGTACTCTACAAAAATAGTTTCACAAGCTGGAACTCTTTTCATACATTCTTTAGTGTGGGTTATTACCCAAAGTCTTTCAGTGTTCTCATATAGTCTGTATGAATTACAGTGTCCATGCAGTTACATTAACACAGTCTGCTGCTGGCTTGTGAACAAAGTCCTTTTAGTGCAGCTTGTCAAAGCAGTCACTCTCTCCTTTGACAAATGTCCATGAGAGTGATACAAGTGGCCTTAGCCATGTGGTGTGCTTTGGATGTGTCTGTTAAGCTGCAGGCACAATATGAATCAGTTCAACGTCCAAAAGTCACTTTGAATATGAATTCTGTGTTAAACAGTCCATTTCCATGCGGTTGGTGTGGAGTGTAAGTACATTGTCTCTGTTCAGTAATGTGTTTCGTGTGTGATCACAATGTTTCTTTTCACTCAAGTCCATACAGTTATCAGTGGCAGTATGCCTGAACAGTCCGTGGAACCATGAAGTGTGTATGATGTGATGGTGTTCTCAGGTTATAACAAGCTGGTGAACCAAGCCGATCATATGTGAAGATCTTTGGTGGCTTGCGCTCTCTACTCGGTCGCTGATGCTCTTGCTCACAGGTCCTGCTGTGTTTGTCTGGAACAGGTGCAGGAACAGGTTCCTCCACTGATGGTTCCTCGACATAATTTTCCTCTTGGTCGGGTGGTTGTTCACATTGGTTCAGTACTTCATGTTCATTCTCTGTCTCAGATGACATGTTTTCCACTGTTTGAAGGTGTTTGGCTGGTTCATCAGTGCTCATAGGATTCAGTGTCTCAGGATAAAGTGGCTCAAATGGCTGCTGAGATGACACTGGATAGTACTCATCATCGTCATCCTCTTCCTCAGCTTGTTCCACTTCCTCACTTGTCTCCACGGCTCTTTTCCTTGTTCGTGGTCGCACTTCAGTTTCAACAGGCAGATGGTCACATGGCAGAAGAAGATTGCGATGCAATATCCTTGATCTCCCTTTTGCTTTCTCAGGTCTGAGTTCATAAACTGGGATATCTCTGCTGACCTGACGAACGACTGTGTGAACCACATCATCCCAGTGGTTCCTCAGCTTGCCTGGACCTCCTCGAGGTGTCATGTTCCTTATTAAAACACGATCACCTGGCTGTAATACTGAGCTCTTCACCTTGCTGTCATAATGTCTTTTACTTCTTACAGCTGCTTTATGAGCATTTTCTCTCGTGATCTCATATGCTTCTTCCATGCCTTGTTTCCATTTTACCATGTAGTCATGATGATTGCCATCTCCTTGTTCTGAGGTCAAGCTGAACAGCATGTCGATTGCCAATCGTGGGGAGCGTCCGTATAACAAGTAAAAAGGGGAAAATCCAGTTACCTCGCTGCGGGTACAATTATAGGCATAAATCAGTTTGTTAAGCGAGTTCTTCCAGTTAGTTTTCTGACTCTCTGAGAGTGTTTTCAGCATCTGGAGTAGTGTCCTATTAAACCGCTCCACTTGTCCATTCCCTTGGGGATGGTAGGGAGTAGTCCTGGACCCAGCAACTCCACAGTAGTTTTTCAGTTGTGCAAACAGATGATTTTCAAATTCAGCACCTTGATCATGATGTATTCGTGCTGGAAAGCCAAATCTTAAAGCATAGTCATTAAAGATTTTGTCTGCAGCCGTTTTACCTGATTTGGAAGTTGTGGCATACGCTTGGGCGAAGCGTGTGAAATGGTCAATGACTACAAGGATGTATTCATAACCCCCTTTGCACTTGTCAAGGTGCAGGAAATCAATTGAGACAAGTTCAAATGGGTGAGTAGTGACAATATTAGTCAGTGGTGCCCTGCTCTCATGACACGGCTTCTTCTGTTTTATGCAAACACACCTTCTGGTCACATAATCCTCTACTTCCCGTTGCATATAGGGCCAGTAAACCTGGTCCCGTATCAGTGACAATGTTCTCTCTACACCTTGATGGTCCATTTCATCATGTAGCTCCTTTAGTACAGTACTTTTGTGTATTTCTGGTAAGACCAACTGTTTTCTGTTTGCTGCTTTTCTGTGCAAGATCCCATTCTCATCCATCTCCAATTTGTCCCACTCCCTCAGGAGACATATGACCTGTGGGCTGAGTTTTCTTAGTTCTGAACGTGATGGTTTTTCCTGTGTTAGTTTACACTGAGTTACAGGTCCAATAGTCGGATCACTTCTCTGGTCCTGTTTGATCTGGCCTTTTGTCAGTGGAATGATGGAAACATCTGTGGCCATGGCTGAACACCTGACTGAGACACCCATGGACCATGACACATTGGAGTCATCCTGCCTTTCCACTGCCTGTGTGGTTGCTCCAATTACATCGTATGCCATTTCCTCTGTGCATTCATTCATAAACGTTTCCATGTCTACCGGCATCCTGGAGAGGCTGTCTGCATCCACATTTTCTTTACCAGGGCGATATTTAATTGTGAAGTGAAAATCTGCCAGTTCTGCTACCCATCGACACCCTGTTGCATTCAGTTTGGCAGTGGACAGTACATAGGTAAGTGGATTATTGTCGATGTACACGGTAAAGAATGGTGCATAATATAGGTAATCACGGAATTTTTCTGTGATAGCCCACTTGAGAGCAAGAAACTCTAACTTGCCTGAATGCAGATGGTAATTCTTCTCAGCTGCAGTTAAAGTGCGGGAACCATAAGCAATCACACGAAGCTTTCCATTCTGCTTTTGGTACAACACAGCACCTAATCCCTGGTTTGACGCATCAGTGTGAAGGGTGAATGGCTGTGAAAATTCTGGAAAGCCTAGAACAGGGGGCTGAGTTAGACAGTCTATCAGCTGCTCTAGTGCTAACTGGTGCATGTCGGTCCACTCAATAGGTGTACTCGAAGGGACACTACACCTGTTTCGCTTTGTTTGCCACTTTAATCTTGTGTTTCGCTGGGTTTCAGCATCTGCAGGTCCCTTGAGCAAGTCATACAGAGGATTTGCAATTCTGGCAAAATCCTTGATGTATTGTCTGTAATAACTTAGTAGGCCCAACATTGCTCTTAGTTCACCAACAGTACCTGGCCGTTTGTTTTTCAAAGCTGTTACAGCAGCAGTTTCTGCGGAGTCTATCCTGCTTCCCTCTGCTGACACAATCCTGCCAAGGTACCTCACTTCTGTCCTAAACAGGTCACACTTCCTTGGTTTGAGTTTGATTCCGTACTCCCTGAGTCGGCGCAGCACTTTCCTGACATCCTCAACATGATCCTCAAACGTTCTGCTAAAGACAAGGACATCATCGAGGTAAGGCACACATATTTCATCCCTTAGCCCTTCTAAGCACTCCTCCATGCAGCGTTGAAATGCTGCCGGAGCGTTCATCAGTCCAAATGGGATTCTGACCCACTCATACAGGCCCCAGGGGGTCACAAAAGCTGTTAGGTGTTTACTGTCTTTGCCCATGAACCCCTGGTGG